TTTGTCTTTTGCCGAAGCTCAGACTCTGGCACTGGATCGGGAACGTTGGAAGCACTGTCTGGCGCGTCTGGTTCCGCGACCCGAAAGGAGAAGCGGCGATGGAAGATGAGGATGAGTCGGTAACATTTATTGTGGTTGCAGTGATGACTTATGTCAGCCCTTTAGCTCTTAGTCGACTGAACTCCGTACTCTTCTCTGGAGTTTAATTATGTTGGCTCGATTCAGATACAATTCCTGTGTGGCCTGCATTTGCGCTGTTATTTTCTTAGCCATATTCGGTAACACTGTTCGTAAGGTTACAATTATGCCACAGCGCTAGCCGTTTATGTCAGGCAAGCTGCGTTTCTGAATGATGCCGTTTGACGACATATCCGTCACCGTGACAAAGCCGTTGCCTTCAAATGATTCGTCTGTAATATCCTTCTCTAATATGTAATTCTGAATGTAGACTTGTCGACAAGTTTCCAAGATTGCGTGCTTCAGTTTCAGTGGATTCGCTTTCAAACTTTGTTTTAGTGAATTTCGAATCTTCTGCTGTTTCCATGATTTTTTTCCAATACATTTTCTGTCACATGTTCAGAACTTATGTTTGGAAACCATTGCTTGATTTCGTTCTATTTATGCGCGGCTTATGTTTCAAGTTGTGTTCTCTGTACGCTCCACTGACCTTCACACAGGTTAGAAAAAGGCATGCCGTTTCGATGTCCGTGATTATTAATTTGCAGACAACCGCGAAAGATTAACTGCACTTGAATGAAGTGCTTCTTCACGACATGCATGCCATGATTTACTGTTTCGCGTTGCATCTCGTGTTCCTGTTCCTGTCACCATTATCTTTGCATTTTCTGCATATATCCGAAGAATCAGTGCCCACTTGATTTGTGGATGATTGTTATTCGACGATATATGGCAGTTTTGTGCATGTCCGTCTCTGAAATCCTGGAACATTGGAACAGGTGCCAGTCGTATGAGGATCACCGAGTTTATTATTCTTTCCTGAAGTCGCTTTGAAGAACTTCTGTTTAACCTGCAATTCAGCTTCGCGCTTATCAGTTCAACGCTTGTCAGCACAAGGTGTAAAGCAAAATAACCACTGTCAGTCAGTTTCGATCGCCACTCTTAACGATCGCAGAGGCAGACGCGTCAGACAGTGTCTCCACCGTTACCTATCTTATATCAGCGTCTAAGCTTCGGTAGAAGATAACCTGAATCTGGCACAGAGTCCTTGGAAACACTTTCCTAGGTTCTTATACATCTAAGGGATCTTCGGCAGGTCGGTTGAGCAAGCACCAGCTGTTTCGTCTTTCTTTTGTGGATGCATTCGCAGCAAGTGCCAAAACCGTCGCAGCTGTGACTTCTAAATTTAAAGGAGCAGTGGCTGTACACCACGGCTCTCGCGGATATCTGTATTCCGGATTGTGTCGAGACGGGCCAGCCAAAACATTCATTTTAGAAAGCCCATTTCAGCCGTTTCTGTCTGAGGTCGTAGTTTTACAGTCATAGCCCGACTCCCGACCAGGTGCCGGGTTGGCATGCGGCGGAGGGTAGCCGTTTTCATAGCCACAGATTGCCTTCAGCAAGGAATTTACTACAGGTTACTTCGTACCAGTGTTGTTCATTTGGTAGAGCGTCGGAGGGAGAACCGAGAGGTGCATGGTTCGAGTCCCGATTGGGGTCACTTGCCTTTATTCCTTTCGACGTTGATAAATGCATGTCAGTCTGTAGGAAGGAAATAGGAAACTGTACACTATGCTCGCAACATAGTGTCTGTTGATTATGCTTTTAAATTAAGGAATTTCTGATGCGGAAATGGA